AGGGCCGGTTGTTCAATGTCTGGTTATCACTACCACTACACTATCGACGATTTCGACATCATGCATGTAACATGTGATCGATAAAGCAGTAATTGTGCTTAACCGGAGCTTCTACCTCCGATTTGTGCTAATCAGACATCACTACTTACCGGTTAAACATCATTATCGACGTTTTCGACATCATACATATAACATGTGATCGATAAAGCAGTCGTTTTATTTAACCGTAGCTTCTACCGCCGATTAGTGCTAATCAGACATTGAACAACCGGCCCTTAGGCCTGGTTGCTCAAAGCCTGGTTGACACTAATTCCCGGTTAAACATCGTTATCGACGTTACCGACACCGTATTATATGTATGGAGTCGAAAAAGTCGATAACGATGTTAACCGGCTAAACATAGTTATCGACGTTACCGACTCCCTGTTATATGCATGGAGTCGAAAAGTCGATAACGATGTTTAACCGCAGATTAGTGTTAACCAGACATTGAGTAACCGGCCCTTAGAAAAAGACCAATCCAAGAATAAAAGTAAAGGTGAGTACGTACATAGATAAAGAAAAGGATAAAGGCAAAAATAAAAATAAATACAAAAACAAGGTTGCGTAAAGATAAAGGCAAAAATGAAGACCAAGGTAAATTTAAACACTTTACTTATATAAGGGCAAAGGTGAAGGGAAATATGTATATCAGGGTTGTTTCCAATATTCGCATTCGCATTCGCAACCGCGGATCTTCCACATTAATTTTAACATTCGCATTCGCAATAATCAATGCGAAGCTTTTGCGAGTGCGAGTGTTGTGCAAGTGCACCGATGAAACGTATATATAGCAAACAAAATGACAAATTGTACATAGCCAATATTTTTGCCTGTGGTCGTGGGAGTATTAAAAGTAAATAAATGTATGAAATACCATAAACAAAAAAAAGATAATAAAATAAAATAAAATAATGTTTATGTTAAAATAAAAATATAATTCAACAATTTTTATGAGCTTCGGGCCGTTTTTAGTGAAAACTTATTGTGGAAAAGCAACAATAATTTGAAAAAATGGTAGAAGTGATAGCTATTTCGGAAATCACCACATTTCCTCATCAGACTTCTTTCAGTAGGATTCGAACCGACGATCACCACTGACTCAGCCAGTTGCTTTCAATTTATTGTTGCTTTTCCACAATAAGTTTTCACTAAAAACGGCCTCAAGCTCATAAAAATTGTTGAATATAATTGTTATAAGGCCATAAAGATAACGGAGTGGGACCGAACAAAACAAAACTTAGAACCTTGTTTTACCATTTTAAAACCGCGTTCTTATTTTAAAGTTTAAATTCTGTTTTTGCCATTCGGTATTTTTATTGATTTTGTTATCGATTATTTATCGAGTTTGTTATCGATATTTTTATCTATTTTGATATCGATATTTTTATCAGTTTTATCGATTTTTTTTCGATTTTGTTATCGATATTTTTATAGATTTTTTTCGACATTTTAATCGATTTTGTCATCAATATTTTTATCGGTTTTGTTATCGATATTTTTATTGATTAGTTAACGATTTTGCTATCGATATTATTATCGCTTCTGTTATCGATTTTGTTATCGATATTAGTACTGATTTTGCTATCGATATTTTCGGAAATTATCGATATTATGATCGATGTTTTTAAAGATTTTG